AAGATGCAGCCGACGTAGCCATCTAGCATTGCCGGGATGCAGACCAGAACGTGGCCGATAAAAACTGCAAGGATTGCAAGGCCCGGGTTCAGGCCTTTTGTGACAGAGGTTGAAGAGACTGTTGTGATGGAGAACGGATGTTAGTTGCCATTTCGGGTCATCAAGTTGTATCCGAACTACCTATGTGAACACTTGCCTTGATACATCGAGATCGAAAAGGCTTCGGCGATCCAAAAGCCGAGCAAACTCGGCCAGCCCCAGGTGCGCTCCGGGGAGCCCATCGGAATTGGGTCCATGTCCTTGTTCGACAGCCGGCCTCCCTCCGTGCCGAGGTCGGCACTCTCGGAGCGGAGCTCCAGGCGCTTCCGTAAACCCATCGTTGCAGCGACTGATGTGCGTGTAATCGCAGTAAGATCTCGGGTCTCGACTACCTACACGTGGGCTTCACCTCTAGGAGAAAAGGGAAGGTCAGGGCGATCAATGGCACAATTGGAGTTGCTAATTGTGCGTGCGGGGAGCGGGAACAAACGATGTCTAATTATTTTTACGTTGTTGCGCATCCGGTCTCGATTCTAAGACGAGGCTTATCAGATTCCCTTTCAGCTATCCTGCTATCGTCGTTGCCGAGCGCCATGGTCGTGCGATTTCCGGATGCGTGCCACGCCCATAATGTTTGTGATAGGCACGCGATAGGCGTGGGTTGTTATCAGTCCGATTATCGGGGATATCATTGGCCTATCCTTTTCTGATGTTGCGGTAGCCCAACAAGGACTATGATAGGCGTTGCATAATCTAATCAGTTGATCAACGTCAGCATAGTTCGAATTGTAGAGAGATTACTTGACTCGATAGTATTGATCTTGAGCGACGGTTCATAACGATGTTGTCAATCGATTCCAGCGTGCTCCGCTGTAGAAGTGTGCTACTCATTGGAGATCGATGCAAGGTGCTTGACTGACTGAAATTCAGCTTCAAAGGGTCAAGACAACATTGAAGGCTTTTCTCTGTGCAACCCTTGACAAGATGGCACCGATTGCGATGTCTGACCTGAAGTCACCCTCATCAATTGCTGCCGTCGACTCGACCGTTTTCCCTGCGCCAGATGCCGACGAGAAGTTGAAGAAACTATGGCAACTTCACGGACACCCTCATAGTTCAAGGTCCCAAACACCCTCATATCTGTTATTCTTCAAAGACTCAGTGACTCTAACACTGAATTTTCAGATTTTCTGACCCAAATTTGACGAGTGTCGCGGCATTAGTCGAGCATAATGCCGTAACTCAACCCTCCAAGCCGGCTTTCATATATCCTGTCGGTGACTCCTTTGAATTGCTGGACTGGGCTCGGCTCAATCAGTTTTGCCTTAGAGCATCGAGTTTTTACTCTAAGCAATTTCAAAAGGAAATTGGTGCTGCCAATGAAACGGGCCAGCAACCCACTGTCGCTCTCCTGGGCGTCGGCAACTCGATCTCGTATCTGATCGCCCAATTCGCCCTGAATCGTCTGCACCTCCGAGTCCTACTTCTTAGCAATAAGAACTCTCCGGCAACGAGAGATCATCTTCTTCGAGTGTGCAATGTTGTTGCAATAATCACCGACGAGGCGAATGAAGCTTCACTCCATGAGGAAAGCCCATGTCAACTCCCGGTAAAGGAACTCATCAGCTTAGATGAGCTGAGAGAGAACGACCTACAAGCTATTGAAGAACCCTGCATAGGGTTTGAGCCTGATGATGAATGGACTCTTCAGTCAATGATCATACACTCATCTGGCTCTACGGGAGTGCCAAAACCAATAATCCACACGAATCGGAGTCTGTGTCAGATTGCGCGGATGTACAGACTACTTCCAGAGTTCTTCATCGAGAACTGGTACCTGTGTTTCCCCTTGTAAGACATAGAATCTCCCTGCTGTTCCTTTTGCGTATGCTCATGCATCTTAGATTCCACGTAGCTGGGTTGTCAATCGCCCTGTCAGGACTCCCAACCGGTCTACCTACCTCCTTACCTCCAACACAGTGGCCACCAGCTCCAAGTTCAATCCTTTCTGCATGGAAGTCCTTGGCTGACCTCGGCTTTCCGCCCGACTGCCTTCACTGTGCACCCTCAGTCATTGAGGACCTCTACGAATATATCGCTCTCACCACCAAAGACTACACTCCTTTGACGGACTTGAAGGTCCTGCAACCCGGAGGAGCTCCACTGTCCCCTTCAATGCTGTCCAAACTTCAGATCATCGGCGTCAATGTCAAAACAACATACGGTACAACCGAAACCGGTCCGCCGCTTCGGACAATACCGCACACGAGAGACAACCCAGACGTGTACCGCTTCCGCAACCTGTACCCAGACTCGAAGTATGTACGAATGGAACCCATTGCGGATAACCTCTTCGAGTGCGTTGTATATCGTGGATTCCCTCTCGCCGCAGAGCTCTGGCTCGAGGAGACGGCGCCGAACCCATACCGTACGGGAGACCTGTTCAACGAGGATCCCCCAGGGAGTGGATATTTCGTACTTCAAGGTCGGCGAGATGACATTCTCGTGCACAGCAATGGAGAGAAGACACATGCCGCCGCTCTCGCCATGGCGCTTGAAGAAGATAAGATGGGCATTGTTGCGAAGACTGCAGTCTTTGGGACAGGAAAGCCTTGCCCCTCCGTTGTCGTTGAGATCAACTGGTCCGAGGTGGAGAAGCGTTCCATATCAGAACCCAATCTTGCTGAAGAGGTGTGGAAAGTAGTGGAGATCTGCAATAAGAATTCTCCGACGTACTCACGAATTTCTCGTCAAACCGTCCTCATTCTACAAAATGATGAGACGTTACCAGTCACTCCAAAAGGGAACGTGCGACGGACGATTGCCTGGGAATTGTATGGAGATAGGGTGGAAGAACTCTACAACTCATTCCTAGGCACCCAGCTCGATTCTGATGCGGATTCCAAACCGTTTCCTTCTAGGAGATCTGGTGCTTCAGATCTTGAAATCATTCAAACCGTTGTCGCTGAGATTTTTTGTCTCTCTGTGGAAGAGTTGATGCCGGACCAAAACTGGTACGAACTTGGCCTCGATTCTATGCGTGCCGTCGAGGTGCGATCGAGACTTGTGGAGTCGTTCGGGACGTTCCCTTTGATGTTCATCTTCGAATATCCTACGGCAGGGAAGCTTCTCGAGTTCCTTCAGCTGTTCAAAGGTGGTCTTGATAGCAACGTCTCGGTGGCCCGCAACCACAATGACTGGATTAGGTCGACCATCCGCCGCATGAACATGGAGATCGACAACAGGCAGGCGACTCATGCTAAACAGCAAGATTTGGGAAACGAGGGGGAAGTCATATATCTCACGGGAGCTAGCGGTGCTCTGGGCAACGCACTACTGGAAGTTCTGGTTCAGATGCCAACTGTTCGAAAGATCTACTGCGCCGTACGGGGAGCAAATCCTGGAGCTCGAGTCTTAGGGTCCATGAAAGAGAGAGGGTATCCAGCCAGCATTTATCAAAGCGAGAAAATTGTACCCGTCAGTTATGACATGAAAGACGGAAAGCTAGGATTGGACGAACAGATGTATCAGCGTGTGGCTAATGAGGTGACCACCGTGATGCACAATGCTTGGAAGTTGGATTTCAATCAGCCAATTCAACAGTTCGAAGACGACTGCCTGAGAGGTAAAGCCCAGTTCAAATATGCCAACATGAAGTCTCTCAGCTGACGAATATGTCTTAGGAACCATGCATCTCATGTCCTTCTGCCTCGAGGGGCTCAAGAAGACGTTTACCTTCATGAGCAGCGTCGCCGCAGCAATGGGGAGCCCCGCCGGCACGAAAGTGCCAGAACTTTCACTCTCCCCGGATCCTGCAAATGCTCTTCCCACCGGATACGCGCAGTCCAAATTCATCATCGAGCAAGTCACGCAGCACTACGCCTCTACTCACAATGTCCCTGTTCGCATCCTCCGAGTCGGCCAGCTTTGCGGTCACTCGAGGCTAGGGGCATGGAACCATACCGAGATGTGGCCCACCATGATGATGGCTGGACTAGATCACCTTGATGCGATGCCGAGCTTACAGACGAACGTCGACTGGCTTCCCGTCGACTTCTGTGCTGAAGCCATCGGCGATGCAGTGATTCACAACACTGCCGAGACGTCTTATGCTGTGTGCAATCTTGTCAACCCGAGCGCTATCTCATGGGAGCAGCTGCTTTCTATGCTGGAAGAGGCCGACGGACGGAAGGTTCAACGCATTAGTATGAGGGAATGGGTGGCTAGGTTAGAAGCGACGGCAGAATCACAGAGCTTGGGTGTGAAGGAGCTACCAGCTCTGAAACTCCTAGGCTTCTTCCAGTCCATGGCTGAAGGCACTGGAAATGGCGAGGGTGTGGTATTCGATGCGGGAAACGTGAAGAAAGGAAGACGGATTGAGGTGGATATGATCAAGAGGTGGCTAGGGGTATGGCGTCAAACAGGTCACTTTAGGGAATAGAGAGTCGACCATCTTGGTATCTTCGTGAAGAATCCGACGAAAGAGGCTTCATCACGGCTTCCGTGATGTGACTTGTAGCGTTGCATTCAACCCGAATAAGAGGATTTCGGCACTTCAAGACTTGGCACTCTCCGACGCTGTGGCATGCTCCGACGATCTTCCCGCGGAATCCACGCGTGCCGCGGTTGGTCGGAATGCTAAGCGGCGTCCGGCACGATGCTTTGAACATCACCAGACGCCATGGTCTTTAACGCGCCGAACTTACAGCTTGACCCAACAATGCTTCGCGTCGGATTGGGTTAAGGTAGCAGATATATTACCCTCCAGGCAATATACGTGCCACCAGACCTGTTGGACAAACATGTAAGCCGAAAACCCCAATCGGGAAGCAAACTACACTTAAGCGAGCGCATCACGCTTGCATGTCAGCATGTTTGAATTACTTAAGACTATCATGTCTCTCATTCAGGTGCCCCGGTGATCTTGCTCTTGTTGTTGACGTTGAACAATAGCCTTTGCGATGCTTACCTCACGCGCAACGTCGTTCACTGCCCGCCACCACTCAGCGCACCTCAGAGTTGCTATCGTATGCAACCACAAGACACGTTCCTTTCACACAACCTATTCAGTAAAGTCCAGCCAGCAACATGACATAATTGTCGTCGGTGCCGGCATCGCCGGAGTCTGCACAAGCATCGCAGCCGCAGAAAAAGGCGCCAAGGTCCTTCTCCTGGACGATGCCCACGGCGGCGGAGCATCGGCGCTCTCAGGGGGCGTAGTCTACGCCGGCGGGGGCACGCGACAACAAAAAGAAGCCGGCTACGGCCACGATACCCCTGAGAACATGTTCGCCTATCTCAAAGAGGAAACGGGGGATGCAGTCGATGAGAAGACTCTCCGGCGCTTTTGCGACGAGAGCGTGGCACGGCTCGAGTGGCTCGAGAAGCACGGCTCCCGATTCGAGGCCTCGCTGTGTCCCTACAAGACCAGCTATCCGACGAATAAGCATTATCTCTACTTTTCTGGGAATGAGAAGTCGTACCCGTTCAATAAACTGTCGAAGCCGGCGCCCAGGGGACACCGCATGGTGCAGCCGGGGTTCTCTGGGTCTGCGCTATGGCAGGCGCTCTTTGACTCAGCAATACGTCTAGGAGTAGATTTCAAGCCAGCGACTAAGGTTCAGCAGGTTCTTTTCAATGAAAAGAGGGACAAAGTTAGCGGAGTTGAGATCAAGACGTTGTCGGGTACCAATTCGCTGTTCGAGAAGCACAAGGGCCTTACGCAAAAGACCAAGAAATTCCAGCTCATGGCGACTCCGCTAGCCGACGTCTATCACCGCAAGGCAAGCAAAATCTGGCAAGAGCAATCCACCTCGCAGACCATACATGGTGGAGCGGTGGTCTTGAGTGCCGGCGGTTTTGCTTTCAACCCCGAGATGAGGCAGAAACACCTCCCCGAGTTCTCCCAGGTCGCTCCGCTCGGGACCAATGGCGATGACGGGTCTGGAATCAAGATCGGGCAGGCAGCGGGAGGATCAGTCTCCAATATGAACAACATGTCTGCGTGGCGTTTCTTGTATCCTCCAACGGCCCTGCTCGAAGGCGTTGTCGTATCTCAGGATGGAGAGCGTATGGGTGCGGAGGATGTTTATGGGGCGGCACTCAGCGATACTATGATAAGACAACATGGGGGGAAAGGCTTTTTGATTCTCGACTCGGATCAATGGGCGAAAGCAAAGAGACAGGTCTTCCAGCAGACTAACATGCCTCTCTTGATTCAGAGACTGCACTGGCTCTATTGGGGTTACAAGAAAGCTGGCTCGTTGGCAGCGCTAGCTGGTAAGTTCAACATCTCGGCCGTCGGTCTGGCGGCGACAGTCAAGACCTACAATGATGCGATCGCTAGCGGAGAAGAGGATCCGATGCACAAGGAAGCCGACTACTGCAGCCCAGTATCGAAAGCCCCATTCTATGGCGTCGATATTTCCTGCCGCACTGAGGGAATCCAAGCTGTCAACGGACTGACGCTCGGCGGGCTGCGGGTGGATGGCGAGACTGGGCTAGTCCTGACCGAGGATGGTAGCAAGATAGATGGGCTGTATGCTGCTGGGCGAAGTGCTGCTGGAGTCTGCGCCAACGGTTATGTGAGCGGGCTTTCCCTTGCTGATGGTGTCTTTTCGGGGAAGAGAGCGGGTGAACATGCTGCTCGGCGGGGGTAAGAGTTCGGTGTAAATCCATGTACTCGTTCAAGCGTCTTCAAGTCCTCATCTAGACGGCACAGATTGCTTGCATATCCAAGATCCTGCCCCGCCGAAGGCGCCGTTCTCCTCCTTATCCTTATGCCGTGACAGCTTGTCCAGGTCCTCTCTTGAGGCGATCATTACAAGTTTTGAGGTTTGGGAAGTCATGTCCGATCTTCGTCATGACTACAAACAGCCATAGTAATCATACAGCACACACATATGTTCCCTCCTTTCAGGAAGATCCGATGATTGACCAGACCGTGAAGCTGATCCAACAGCAAATAACATCCCATCCGACACTGCTAACCGCAGGATGTTCGTATAACGTCACAAGCGCAGTCTTGAGACTCGCACCGCTGTCGAAGACCCCAAGCGTGGCTACGACCAGCACCCATATCATCGACGCAACTTTCCAGTGCCACGCTGGCTCGCCCAACATTTGCGCCGGCAAGATCCTATTCAGAAGCAACGGTACGAATGCCAGCAAGTGTGGACCAAGTAGCAAGGATAAGAACTTGGGGTGGTTGATGGCGGAGGGGATCGACATTGCCCATAACAGGGTAGCGAAGAGAATGACGGAATGAATAGAGAATGAAGACACAGTCTGGCGATATCGTTTGCCATCATTTGTTTTTCGTTCTGGGGTTTCGCTGCAGAGTATTGCGAGGAAAGACAGATTTGACGCAAAGGAGATCGCAACAACTTGACCAAGCAGTACGAATATCCAAGCATGTGAGATACACCTTCTCTGAGCTAATGATGCACCTAGATTAGTATTGGTCTCGGAAGCCGCAACAAGAAGCTGACAGCTGGCCCGGATTTGACTAAGGTTGAATAAGCTCACCTTGAGCCGCAAGTATGGCGCTCCAGTTAGCGCAAAACCCAAATATTTGCAACGACCACCAGGCCCTCGGGCCAGTCTCAAGGGTTGACGCCCAAGCTTGCTTGAATAGAGAGGTGTCGTGCAGCCACTCGCCGAGCCTCAGTTCGGTGGAGTCAAGACCAGCCGGTGCCTGTGTCGTTGCCCATTGACCATACGACCACTCGAAGAAGCGAAACATGTGATACCAGGTCGTCGCGAGGCTCAAGGCCGCGAGCGCGCTGAACACCACAAGAGCGCGACGGTGGGCTGGCGCAGCGACTGCCCCATTTCGCGAAAGCGAGGCGCGCCGCTGATTGCGAATGATGCCAATAGACTTTGCTGTGAGCCCGGCGGCTAGGACCATGTAGCTGGTGAATATAGCCAGCGGGCGGACATTGGAGGCCGCCATTCTTTGCGAATGTCTGTCGGCAGGACACCAATTCTTTGGAGCTCACCTCCTCAAAGAAATAGCCAGGCAACCCGGGGGTTGTATATGATGTCAATGAACATGAGTGTCCGCTTGCGAACTCCCCAAAGGAGCCATGACCGAGAATGCCGGGGACAATAAGGACCAGCCAGTCGAGCTAGTGTGGCCAGGGATCATCATAGTGTGTGGGGTCGCCTGAGAAAACTCTAGAAGCCAAGCTAGATTGTTCGAGTCGGTGCAACTTTCTGTCCGAACAGACGAGACCGTCTGATGGTACTAAGGCAGCACGTGCAAATTGACTTTTCGCTTTCGAAATCTTTGGGCTCAGACGAGGTGTCTACTTGGTAGGCATCGCCGTCAAGATGGTCTTTGGGCACCCACCTTGCCCCAGATGAAAGGGGCAACAGCTCAGATAGACTGATTTGCTGGCGCGAATTATGTCTCAAGGTTTCTCAGGTTCTGTCGGATCCCGAAGGAAATGGCTAGCTGCTGCCGCATTGTACTACGCCGACAGGGATGGAGCCTCGTTGACGCCGGACAGTCAACCATCAAGTGGAATTGCCCCGACGGCGCTTCGACCTCGGCAGACACCCACCCATTCAAGGATGAGTGATGTGACTATCCGGCACTTCTCTCAGGGATAGTACCCGCCGGAGGGGAGCTTCATTCCGGGGAGTAGCAGATTTCGAAGAAGCTACGGTGTGCACTGATGAAATTACGTACCCGGCGCGTGGTGTGAGGGTGCGGTGAGCTGGGAAATACCCTATCTCTCCGCAGTGGATTTCCTGTCGCAAGTTCGTGCGTACCGAGTCTGTTAAAGTTTCTTCGTCAAGTTTTGCATTCGCTGTGTTTTGATGAACAAGTCGCCACACCGAAGGAGAAGGATACCTACTCAGGGCTTGTCAGCGCTGGCTTGGGTTCATACGGCCCTCAAACTCACTCATCGCAACATGAGTCCACAGGCCCCTCTCCGAGTAGCTGTCGTCGGGACGGGATTGGCCGGGCTTAGCACCGCATATCTGTTGCAAAATGACGAACAACAAAGATATGCCGTGACCCTTTTTGAACAGGTGATTTGGATCCTAGATCGGAGTGATTGGCGAATTCGTAGACTGACCGTTGTAGGCTGAGAGTCTGTCTTTCGACTCAGCATCCGTTGCGGTTCGAGAGGACAGATCCGGCAGCATTGAGAGGATCGACCTTCCAATGCGCGCCCTCGCCGGAGGGTATTATCCCAACGTGATGCGCATGTATGACCACTTGGGCATCCCATACCATCCCATCCGCTTCTTGTTCTCATTCGCCAAATCACTGCCAGAACGCAGGCCTGATACGATAGCATCGGGAAAGAACCAGGCAACTCTGGAGGGCGCCGGTGGGGTGCCTGGCGAGTACTTTGTCCACGCATCCAATCTGCATCAAGCACCCCCTTGGCCGGGAAGCCGCGGAATTATGGCGCACTTAGTAGAGATTCTGTACCTGATTATATGCCAGTTTTGGTTCACAGTGGCGTGCTTCATGGTACACCCTATGACTGAGGGGTCCGATGGGGGAGAGACGTTTGGCGAGTATCTGGAGAGGATATGGCTACCGCGACGGTATGCCACGCACTACCTGCTCCCACTCATCAGCAGTGTTGCGACGTGTACGCATGCTGAGCTCCTGGCTTTCCCCGCCAGCGACGTTGTCGAGTACAAGAAACGCTCCCATGGACAACAGCACTACACTGTCTGTGGCGGTGTCCACCAAGTTGAAGGAAGATTGGCTAAAGAAATGAAAGAGGTCCGACTAGGAGCATGTGTTGCGGAGGTAGCCTCAACGGCTGATGGGAGAGTGCGAATCCGCTGGCAGTCGACGAGGAACGCAGCTGGGCAGATTATGGATGACGTATTCGATCGGGTCATCCTCGCTGTGTCGCCAGACGTGGCTGGCAAGATCTTCCAGCCCCTGCGCAAAATTCTCGAGCCAGTACCAACGATACGCGTAGAGAGCTCAGTTCTCCGTCCACTGGATGCGGAACCAAGCCAGTCGTTCACCCTCATGGAGGATGAAGGGAGACATCCGAAAGCTTGTTCACATCATCGTGGGAATGCCATGCCGCCGCAAGTTATCTGTCTCAGAACCGACTTTTCCGCAAAAGAAGCTGCGCGGACAGAGGCTTTGCACACAATGCCTAGAGGAACAGTCGTGAGCACTTGCCCGCTTGACGTACAGGCCGATGCGAAGAGGGTACTGCGGACAGCGAGATTTACAAGGACCTTGAGGACGCGTCAGAGTAGGGCAGTTGTTCGAAAGATCATGGGCGAGGACAGGAACCTGGACAAAAAGAATGACCAGACCGCCGGCATGGGTGACTGGACCAATGGACAAGATAATGTGTGGTTGACCGGGGCGTGGTGCTGGGACGGAATGGTCCTACTCGAAGGGTGTGTTATCTCTGCGATGAGAATCGCTGACGATTTTGGTGTTCTAGTCCCTTGGCGGCGCGGCTAGTCAAGCGACTGAAGATACGCAATGAGAAGAAAAACATGTCTGAATGGAAGAAGTGAAGTTGAAATAAACGCAGTCCTCGTGAAGAAAATTAGCAAGGGGGGCTTTGTTGGTTTGTTGGTTGTTGGTCCGTTGGTTGGAAGTGACATCGGACCTCCGGTGCCGAACCCTGTCGCATCCTTCTCAGTTCCTGCCTACAGCTGGCGCCAAGTCTAGCTACACCTGGCAGCTTTCTCTGCAAATGTCTTCCCACGTCTCAATTTCCATTTAAGGTACCTTATTAGTGAGCACTAGACCACAGAACTAACTTTCCTTCACCCTCATCTCACAAGCGGACATGAGTTCGTTCTTATCCATACGATGACACTACCAATTGACGCCGTTCCTGACTTCTGGAAAGGTGTCTTACTAGGCGCGACTGGCTGCACATTTACAATTTTGATAGTCACCTTAGCATTTACTATTACTTTTCTTCGGCGGAAAGACGTCTACGACAATGATCACTGGAAGCTGAACCTCAAAGTGCCGTTCACCACCATGTGGATGAACATGGGTTATTGGTTTGTCCGCCCTCATCATACGCTCTGCCTCGCGACTACTCAGATGCCGGATCTCCCTTCACTTCAAGTTTCGATTTGAATTGAACAGTACCCGTCGCCGTTCATGATACTCTTTGAGTCAGCCACAGCACGACTAACTTACCATGATGTCCCAGGACGAATGCCAACAACCTACGTATTACAGATTTTGAAACAGCCTGTCGCAATTTGCTTATCGAGGTCCTCAAAGAAGCCCAGATTTGGAAAGACGTGATTCAGTCTGCAGCAATATCTCTTCTAGACCTAGGTGTTGGCTGTGGTGATCAGTCCCTGGAGCTTGCACGACTGATTGACGAGCGAGGTGTGACCAGCTATCGATACGTAGGGCTCACTATCAACGAGTCCCAGTATCGATTGGCCTCAACTAGAGTCCGATTGCAGGCTCAAAAGCTCAAATTAGAAGATGGAAGTGTTGAGATATTTTGCACTGACGCTGCCAACCCCGAGACCTGGGGCGCGCACGTAAAGTCTGCAATCAGATCTTTGAAGGAGGACAGCACCGACCGACAACGATGGGTTCTAGCGCTTGACAGCCTGTACCACTTCTATCCCTCCAGAAAGCCAATCTTCACCTATGCCGCGCAGACACTCGATGCCTCGTTCATGGCCTTTGACTTGATACTGAGCGATGGAGCGTCTTTACGACAAAGGTTCCTCGTCAAGCTCATTGGACTAGCGATGGGTTGTCCTACTACTGCTTTTGTTACAATGGCAGACTACAAGAAGCAGCTCGTTGACGCGGGTTACGATGAAGATCATATCCATTTCAAAGATATCACGGAACATGTGTTCTCTGGTCTCGTCAGTTATATCAAAAGTCAGAGTGAAGCGTTACAGCCGTTTGGTATCTCAGCAGGGAAGTTCAAGGTTGCAGCAATAGTGTTTGACTGGTTTGCTAAGTCAAACGCAATGAGGGGAACAATTGTGATTGCGCGCAAGAGATCCAAAGCCCAAGGAGAAGCATCACATATGAAGGGAGGAGCAAAATGAATCTCTATTTGAGAAGACCTTAAATATCGAAAGTATCGGTGTCTATCTCATTTCGTACTTGTCTAAGTTCAATCATCAAAGCCCGTCCTACTGCCATATTCTGACATCAATTCATTGACTGAAAGCTGAATTTTGATTCATTCGCCAGGCTAGGACACCAAAGCTCTGAGAATCATTTAACAGACAGAGTGCTATGTGTTAATCCTGTCTTCATACACCATTCAAACAAATAAGCAGCCAATAGACGACACAAAATCCTGTCATACCATCTATCTTAGCACCTGAATCGATCGGATTGATCAGGTGGCGAATCGGAAGTCAAGACTATGAAGAATTAGTAAGAGGATGAGTTCACCAGGCGTCGATGTATCTCACCGTTTGTTGCCTTTATCCGTTGTGTTGGCACGGTAGTCGTGTTGCTGCTCTGGTGTCATAGCATCCCATTTCTTGGCCTTGCTGTTGTTCCTCCACCGATAGTAGAAGTAGGTGAAGGGGTATTGTACAACCTGCGAACATGTGAGCTATGAGATCTAATCTTGATGAGGGATAATTGTCTACTTACACACATCCAAATGCAAATGACCAATAGGCCCTTGTTGGCCTTGAAGTATCGAGGGGCATCACTTGGTTGATAGACTTGGCTAGTCAGCATCCTCTGTTATCTTGAGTCTGAAGGAGAGCTACTTACTATTTGCGCCGATCATACCACTGACTTGAACCCACATATTGTACAGGCTACAGGCATATTGTAAGTCATATTTCACATCACTGATGAGAGTTATAGAGACTTACGATGCGGACACTGTTCTGTTCTGGACGGATCCGGCATTTCTACTCGTCCAGGCAACTTGAATAGGGTGCGTGCCGGCAGGGATTAGCATTCGGCTGGAACAAATCGAAATCTTCCACACTTACTAAGGGAAGGACAGCAACACTGTTGCGATCGCAAAGTAAGCCCAGGGACTTGGGTTCGCAATCACAATCAGAGCGATGAAGCACGGCAACAGCCATGCATCCTCCGCCATGGCGACGAAACTACGGTTGTTGCATAGCTCGCTAGCAGCCGTGATGGCCAACATGGTGATGCTCGACCCGATGATCCACGGAATTGAGAGCAAGTTGGTTTGGATGACGTTGAACTTGAGGTCTCGGAGGGACAAAGTGAGGTACTGGTTGACAGGGTACTTTGGCAAGCCAAAGAGCAGGCCAAGAGCGTACAAGGGCCACATATCGTAGTCCTTGGAGCATTCCCAGATTTGCTTGACGGACAGACCTTGTCTGTTGTACATGCCACCTTTTTGAGGATCGTCGCGGATGACTGGCAGAGTTGATCAGCTTAGGCGTAGGCGTTGCGTTCCTGAGAGACGTACCGGAGTTGACAATGATCTTCTCCTCTTTCTCGTTGAAGTACCCCTTGGGATTCCACCAGCTCTTCGTCTTGGCAGGGCATTGAGGCATAAGGAAGAACGAGCACAATCCCACACAGACTAGATCGATCTTGTCAGCGATATAACTGAATGATTATGAAGTGGTTATTTTTGACTCACAAGTGAAGGCGCCTCTGTAAACCGTATGTTAGCAGGCTGACGACACCGTAAGTTTTTAGGAAAAGGCTTACTCAATGAGGAACAACCAACGCCAGCCCTCGTATCCCAAGATACCGCGCATGGAAACCAGGCCGACAGCAGCGAATCCGACACCGATGTCAACTAGAAAGGCCAATTAGTCAGATTTGCTCAGCCGAACAGAGCTTGAGAGCAGTGCAGAGCAACGTACCTAGTTGAGAAGACATCCAAAACCAGGCCAGTCGAATAGGAAGCTGAGGGAAAACGTTAGAAAGGTGTTCTTCAGGAGGCCAGGATGAGATTGCTAACTGAGGTGCCCGTATACCAGTAACTCAGGTAAAGAATCGTGTCCCTGCCAAGGGGTTAGTCGAAAGCTTGGACAGGCTTGTCAAGGGCCAAGACTTACGGGATGAAACCTCCTTGGAAGGTTGCGCTAGACATTGGGTCGTAAGTACACGTGATCTACTCTCTCATGGGCAACAAACACATTTACATGAGGTATCTTGTCGCAAGGAAGGACGCTCGACCCTTCAAAAAGAATTGCGCTCCAGAGATGATAGAGAAGAGGCAGATCTGGATGGGAATCCACAGATCGGGTCCAATACTGCAAAGCTCAATCAGTACGAATTCACAAGTTGGCAGGTAAGGACTAATACTGACCGCTTGGAAATCAACTGCGATGGAAGCTCGGCAACAAGAAAGCCAACCCGGGATATTGTTTGACCAAGGTTCTAAGTCGGGTTAGCGGAGATCAGAGGAGCCAGCCTCCCCATAACTCACGTAGTCGCCTCGCGTCAACCCGAGATCGTCAAGCATATTATCGGAAACGGCGTTGGAGATATTGTTCCGGTCGATATTGAGGGCTGCGAACATGACACAAGCCCAGACCTGTGAGTTATCAGCTTGCGTTCTTCTTCGAGTTGTCGAGATCATTGTACCATGATTTTCCAGTCGACTTTACGCCTAACAGCACGTTCCTCTCTCCATGTCCATCGGAAACTGGGATCAAAAGCAGCCCAGTTCTCCCATTGCGGGTGGATATAGAGGCTCTTGTACTCCTCGACATTCTCGGAATCCCAAATACTCGGTTGCGTGGCAATCTGTTGAGCATGTTAGACGCCATCGGGCTCTTTCGCAAGTTGACATGAGCTGATATACTCACCGCATCGAGGTCATACTCTTCCGCCTTTGGCCCTTTTCGAATCCTGAAAAATCGGAGGATGGCATCGCCCATTGCCGCTTCCATGCGTTGAGTCTGCTGCGTTGCAAGCGCGGGCGCTGTCGGAGGGGCGGCATCGACGGTAACCTTGTCGTCAACAGCGGATTTGGAACCCAGGCCGCCATGGTCAGACGACGTATCGGACCCGGCGGGTGACGGCTTCCCGACTGGATGTTGCGAGGACATCTTGTTCGTCGTCAAAAGATAGAACAATGACGTACGGTGTCTGCACAACGCGAAAGTTCAAACAAAACCCAGCCCGCATGCAGGACAGACGAACCGTTCTATATAAGTGTCTCTTGATAAAACTCTTTCAGCAGGGGTTTCAACAAGCACTGCATGCCGAGCGAACGGCTTACTCTCCAGCTAAGCTGTCATGGAACGTCGCCACAAGGCGTGACGAGCATTTGGGGGTGCTAATGGGTAGGAAAGGGGCATGCTTTCTCCAAATCTCGGTCTGATACCGAAGGGCGATCCACAGGTAGATGACGACAGGCTACCTGTTCAGTAATGCTGACCCTCCAACATCAGGTTAAACGGTTGTAGTCCGAGGAGATCCAAAAGTTGTGTGGTAAGTCCATATGCTATGCCGTTAGTTGCGGCAGTTGTCGGGGCTTGACCAAGGGTAGCTGCATTCCTCTGAGTTCTCATGGGACTTCACGTTGAAGCTAAGCCCTATGCCACCAGTTTGCAACCTCGTCACAAGCTTCACTTTACTTCTTATGGGCATTCTCTTCTACCTATGTACGGAGAGCTGTCACTTGAGATTGAACTCTGTTAATTGATGGCATCGCTGTATGGAAAAGACAAGGAACGAGTAATAACTGGGGCTGATGCAACTGTGTGGGTGTCTAGTGTGTCGCGTCAGCTTGCTTGCAGCTTGCGCAATTGATTCACCATCGTCGCAGTCGATGGCGTGCTACACGTGACTGCCGCCTGTTAAAGAACCACAACCTGTCCAATCATTTTGCAATTGACTGTCATTCGGAGAATTAGAGCTCCTCCGCTGACAATTTTATTGTAAGAAACGCGTTGATCTCATTGCCAAATTTCGACTTGGTGCTTGGTGCGCTCCCATTCTACACATATTGTCGTGCCCCCTAGTGAGATACTGGCATCCAGTTATCATCATCGGATGTCTTCCTAGACAGCCATAGGCCTTGAAGATCATGAAGCCTCTTGATACTAATAGTCCACTGGAAGCACACTAGCTTGCGGCTGCAACCACGGCCAGATGTGTGTCAAGGTGCGTGGGCACTCGAGCTCGAGGTGTGGTTCTTTAAAAATCTTATCATCATCTACTATAGCCCGGGAGAACGGTTCCAGCTCCGAAAGCTAAAGTTTTGTGTTCAAACTTGGTGCGCCAGCTAGAGCAATAATTGTTGCTAAAAGAAGCTGGCTACATGTAGTCAGTTGTGTTTCCCGGTCTTGTACTTTGACGCCTATATCGCTACGAGACGTGGGAAGGGATGCGTCACACCAGAGTGATTGAATATTCAGAATAACTAATCAATCCTTTCATTCCGCTGCGCAAATTCTCAGCAGTTAGGCCCAATAGATTAAAGGTCAGTCTTTGAATTGATTGCAATCTTGATTGATAGCAAAGGACTGCCACAACTTCATGCTCATTTACAACGTCAGAACATAACGATATCGCGCCTTTCCAGCTTCAAAGTCCACAATTCCTTGATTTGCTTCTGCCATGGGTCTCTCCTGGACCCAAAGCTTTATCCCTTTATCAGCAGCCAAGTCTAACATCTCGCGTATCTCTTGTCGAGACCCTGTGTTTGACCCCGTCAGCTTTATCCGCTGCGACACGAGCATGAAAGCGTTGACCTCAAACAAGCCGTCTTCCGGCAACCCGACTTGAATAAATGTGCCATCTAGGCTCACCAAGCTGAGATACTGGTTGAAAGGAACTTTACTCGTGCCAATGGTGTTGATGATGATGTCAAAGGCACCGGCATACTCAGTCACCCAGTCCAACCGCTCCCCCGTCGCGATATAGTCGTCCGCACCCATTCTTAGAACTTCATCTCGTTTCGACTCACTCCTCGATATACCCACAACTCTATCCGCACCGAGAGCTTTGGCAAAGAGAATACCGCAGTGGCCCAGACCTCCAATCCCAATAACCCCCACAGTCTTCCCCGGCCTACACCCGTTCAACTTCAGCGGCGAATACACGGTGATGCCCGCACAGAGCATAGGCGCGACCGACGCCGAGTCGAGCCGGTCATCAATCTTGGAGACGAAATGCGAAGGGCACCGGTGGTGAGTCGCATACCCGCCCATCGCCTTGCCGCCGTTGTAATGGAAAGCACCGTACGTGTGCACGGGTTTCTTGCAGTACGACTCCTTGCCGCCATCGCAGGCCTTGCAAGGACCGAAACGGCCAAGGCAAGCGTTTGCTTGGGCGCCAACACCGACGCGATCCCCCAATTTGATGTCTCCAATAGCCTTTGTCCCGACACGGACGGCGATGCCGACAATTTCGTGACCGACGCAGATCGGGTAGGGAGCAGGGTACTATCGATCATCAGGGTTCATCAGTAACGGAGACAGCCAAGCGTTGCAGCAAAACTGGCATCGAACTGAAGTTAGCTGTACATACCCAGCCACTGCGTAACGTGTGCAGGTCTGTCCCGCAGATCCCGCTGTGGGTGACTTTGATGTCAATATTCGTGTCCTCCCATTCCTTGGGCTCAAACTCCTGCCAGACCATGTTGCCCTCCGCTGCTGACTTGTCGAGGCCAAGCCAGCCTTCGAATTTGTAGTTGAGGGTCGACATAGTGGCTTGGAATGTGAACGAGCTGCCGAGACTACATGTAGTGGGTGTTGATGAGTGATCTTATATGGCGGGCACGAGACCCAGGCCCTAAGGTAGTCAAAGACTTGACGATTAGGTACTAATCTCAGCGCAGACGTTGAAGAGACAAATTATTATATACTTTGGTAATTGACCACTTGTGCATGAAAAGAGAGCATCATTGCTTGATATAGAAGTTGCGCCGTCTGAAGAAATCTCCATCCGTCTACACATATGCACTCCATGGTGGTTCCAGGGGTGTGCCCTTTTTTCGGCACCACTTTCTGTGATTTCCGACCACACAAAGCCCTCGATTTGTCCGGCCGCGTATTTCTCAGACTATTGTGTTGCTGTTGGTCCCGCTGAATTGTACTTCCAACGGCCTAAAGGCCTTGACTGCGCGACTTAGGCCACAGGTCAATACAAACCAACCGCATATGCATCTCGGAGCTGTTGCCTAACAAACGCCTAACATCCTTTCATCGTCGTATTCAATACACATAGCCTTGGTGTCAGTAGGGGTTCTCATCCAGCCGACAAGGTTATCTATGTCAATACACATTACCATATTCCATCAACTGAGCGGCGACATTACACGTATTTCTCCAGTTTTCTCCGTGTCTGGTCTTGCAAGATCTTTTTTCCTACTTATTGAAATGAACAGGGGATATAGGGTAGGGTCAACGTATAATGACTTGATTTTCGTACAAAAGTACGCACATTGTTATCTCGCAGCTGATGAGATAGAGTCAACAACTCCCACAACCCGGAGACTTCGATCTCATTAGGCCTCACACTCAAAATCTAGAGCATGCAAGTCCCTATAGTGGATTCCGCCTACTTCGAATCAGTATGATACCGTCATCAGAAAGATCTGGAGAAGATATTCGCGGTATAAGTGGTGCGCCGGATTCATGCACGTAGAGAATGGAAAATAGCGAGAAACAGAGCAAAAGCCGAGCTATGGAAGAGGGCATAGACGAGGGAATATAGTAAGGAGAAGCTCAATTCATAATACTCAAATGTTATGCAGGAGTAGTCAATACATGTACTCACTAGGTAGAATATGAACTGTCGTATCCCCAGCCACCATATGTACATATTTTAGGCCCGTGCGACGGCCCCTTCCACCCTATGACGCCCATCGAGGAGGGATCGCGGGCAAGTGGGCGACAAAATCGATTTGCTGATATTCATCTTCCTTGGTACTCCTTTCACTACTCACATCATAGTCATTACCTTTCGGTATCAAAGTCCTTCTTACATATATACGTAGAGGAATATACTCTATTTGATAGATATAGATCTTAGTAATAATAGTGGTGGAACTGCTTGTCGTATGTGTCGAGCGGTAATCGATCTTGCCACCCGCTTGGCGGGCTCTGCCCACGAACTTCCCCTCCTACTTATGCGCAATAGGCCTATATAGCCCTATTCATCTCGTCGCGACCGAAAGGTCTGACCTGCTTACGTGTATACCAACACTGACGAATCTTTGTTGCTCCATGGTTTCATTCCACGGTATGAACTGACCATCTCAAAAACTCGAGCTTGAAATTTGTCTCCATCCTCTCCTGTAACCATACTTCTTTCGACAAACACATGCGGCGGTTCAGAGAGTTTGAACAAGCCTTATCGATGCAACCCTTGTGCTGTTGCATATGTTCATTACCGTGGTATGTGGTTGGGTCAAGGCAGCGAACCCACCGCGATATTTCCTCCCTTCCCTTCAGGCTAAGTTGTCTTTTATGGGTAGTTTGATGGAACATACTGATCCCTACAAAATAATGTTCTCTTGTGAACGTGATACGATTGGAATCAACACCCCATCGATATGTTGCATGGCATAGTCTACAAAGGACCTGATGCAAAGAATGGCCACATTTGCGAGCGAGGCTTGGCATCATGAGAATACCTGTCGCATCTGCGTGCTTCGAGCTGTTACAAGCGCAACACTGTGAACTTTCGTGATCCCTGATTTTGCTTCGATAACACTCCGGCTTCTCCGGACTTGCTTCCCTGAAACAAACGCAATGCTCCCAGTTGAAAGGCACCATGAGTTCTTGGTTACTGAAGGTAAGATGCGGACATAGGTATTCGTTATTAAAGCGCTCCTCCACGTCTATGAGACCCCGTCGAATGAGGTCCTTGGTAACGAGCTGTCCCTTTCTTAGGTCACATACCACCATAGTCCAGTGCAAACGCAAGTTATGGTCGTTGGAGATGGATAGCGTTGGGAAGTGTTCCTGTCCTTTTGGCTGGAAGTGTAGCTGACAGGCCTGACAGGATAAGTTCCGACTTTCTGCACCTTTTTGAGCGGATGCACTCTCCATCCACTTGAAAATCTCAAGCAAGGACATGTGTTGGTGAGGGCAAATCTGGATCTTCCCTTCCCAGCCCATGCATATCGGGTGACTTTTTGCAAGTTGATATTCGGAAAACAGGGATACGTTGTGCATTCTTTTGCAATCGGCGCAATGTAAAAGTCTCTTTTCCGGGTAATAAAAGAATCGGCGACAGAATAGGTTGGAAGGAATAGCTTGCTTTTTCGAGCAAACTTCGCAAACGGCATTCAGTCTCGTTCGCTGTGCGACCTCTTGTTTTTCTTCACCAGAAAGACGATTGAGATTCATTTCGACAATTGGCTGATATCTGCGCTGAACCTCGCCACACCCCGCGGGATTTTCTTGCTGACGTCGCAAATGATTGGCCATATATTGATATTCAGAAAAGATATAAGATGTTCGATTGAGCTCGTGTTCAGATGCCGAATAATCTTCTGGTATATTGATTGGTCTTTGCAGCTTCTTGAAAGATTTATGTTCGAATGCTGAGAGGAACATGTAGCAGCTTTGTCGAAGACAAAACAGGTCAACATGATTCAAATGTCCCATAATCTGCAGTTGTATTTCGAGAGGAATTTGATATATCGCACAGTCTGCCGTATTGATTCTGTTGCGCATTCTATGCGAGTTCTGATGATATCCGGTGTATATTTCGTCTTGTTTCGAGGTCTTGCTTTGCTTTCGATAGGGCGTGATCAAATCGCTACTTTGCGTTGGTGATTCTTGAGGTAATAGGGTGAAAATACTAGACACCAAGAAAGATATCCCAGTGACCAGAAACACGTAAATTCCATCCATAATGAGTATAGTCCAATAATAGCAGGTATGGATGGAAGATGAATGGGCGGACGTGATAGGGTTGTAAGACGAGGCAAGCTAGTGCGAAGGTATGAACGCCGCCTGAGGAAGCTGAACTTGCATCTATCACGTACCTTACCTAGACTACAGTATGTGGGTGAATGACTGCAGTAGGTAATAGGTAATTGGGGCGATGATTGAGAAGAAGAGATAAGACGTTGCTTGAAAGCCGGATGTGGTAAACATGGAGTGCATTATGCTGACCATGGGGCTTCGGTCTTTTTTTAGAATGGAATGTCACGTTAAGGCCACGACCGGTAGAACCCTGATGAAGGGGCGTGACCTCACACAATAAGCTGCTTAGTGACCTTGCTGGTAAACAGATATAGGTCAACTGGCGGCTTCCGTGTCTGTGGCACCAACCTCTATGGTCGAAGCTCACTACGTTCACAGGTACGTACTGTGAACTTAATTCTTGTACTTGTGACTCACGATTAAGTTTCTTCGATAACAAGGTACTTAGGGTAGGCACCCCCGATGAACCGACGATTGTGCCCCCGCTTGAGATGGCTCTTCTTTGATGTATACATACACAGAAGGTAGATCCTCTGCCACATCTATGTGGACCTTCAAAACGAGAGACACCTCTTTCTTACAACATGAATACTTATTCTTCTAATGCCATCAACGCCTTACAAGAATGCCGCGGTAAATCCGCCACTAGCCTCTCGCTGAAGCGTTGGATGCCCCGGAAATGAATCGTATTGTCGCGTTGGCGATCTCGTAAGTCACCTTGGAGACGTTGGTGGGCCCGCGCAGAGATCTTTGCGCACCATTTGGGTAGCGGTGCTTGCGAGTCCCAATAGACTTTAAAGTCGCATGCGGAATGATTGTTGAGCTCATGACATAGTCACCGTGAGGAAGTAAAAGAAATTTAACATGGATCAGGTACTCATTCACTGCGAAACCGTCTCTTAATACCTTTGACAAGACATTATTGCCGCGATATCACATGCAGCTTGGGAGTGAGGACTTGGCGTAATGACTGGAGAGAAGCCTCGAACGCCCACATCTAGTCCGTCGGTGGCACAATCAATCACCCGACAGAGAAGATGACAAGCCGGTTTAAGACTTTAATCGAGCTACTGTCATGTTGTCGAGGACATTATGGCTGCAAATATCCGCAAAGGAGTTAAGGAAAGTGTCTGTAACCCAAGCACTAACGAAAATGGCCCTTGGGAGTGATGATGTGCCCCGCAGTGCCCCGCAACGCGTTGGTAGCTTGATCGCGTCTTGCTGTGTGACATGGACGCGATTATCTCACCCCTCCTGAGCACTAGTGCTCCGTACAACGAACTCTTCATACCTTACTGACAAGTCACTTCGGCTGTTAAATGCGCTGCGAGCTACCTCACCATAATTTGAATTAAATACATCGATATTGTATAATATATTCAACGACATCGCGCAAGGCGATTTCCAAATCTACCCACAATGAGTGGTCTAATAGAGAGCATTAAGGCCCACTGGAGTCAAGTGCCCTGCGGCGGTTGCGGCATCGTCTACCCCAAACTGTGTGTCTCCGTCAGAGATCAAAGATGCGCCAACCGCAAAGAGGTGCTTACCATCGCCGCGGACTGCGAAGCAGCAATAGCTGGAAGAGAAGATATCAATGATCGGGTGCAAGCTCTCAAGCAGGACGAGGATCGTCTGCACGAGACATTGGCCCGCGAGGACGTCTACATCAAGTCTCTTGAAGCTGCACTCGAGGAAGCGCGGAATCGTCGTATGAAAACGTTGGAAGAACATAAGACCCGCTGGGCCGACTTCACAAAAAGCTTCGACGGCCACCGAGACACCATCGACAAGTCTAGTCATTTGGTTAATCGGTTGCATGAAGCCACGAGGAGGATGTATGCCCTTGACCCTAGGCGCATCACGGACCACAGCCTAGAGGATCACGACCGTTCTGAAGAAAACAAGGAAAATATAGGACCTCAGCGGGAGGTTTGCAGTATCACTCCGCCGACCTACCTCGCAAGCGACGACATTCGGCCGAGTGGGGGTGAATGGACTCGCATGGTGAGAGAAGGGACGACAAAGTATCATGCCGTCGCGAACTGGGTTTTGGCCACCTTCGACGCGCAATCTGAACTTGATCGGGGAGTTGGTGTCAGCGGTAGTGATCAGACATTGTCATCGGCGAGGAGACCACGGAGACAAATGAGTTGTGGTCAACGGCATCGGTACCGACCGTACTATTCTCGAGGTTGACATTTGCTCCGAAGTAGCTGAGCTTCCTCCCCGTGGATGATGGCACATACACATCTAATACTAGCCTGACAGTTGAATCATTTTTATCAAGCTACCTGTGATATTACTTCGCCGAGTGCAAAGCTGTTCATTGATGCGACAGAGTCTGCTACCACTGGCGCTTTTCCGCCATTTGATGGACGCTAACCCTCGACAACAGACGAGAACGTTGAGACGGAGGCAATGTATGAAGGAAGGCAATTCCCGCTGATACGGGGCGCCCTAGGTAACGGTGCCCGGTCCTCTGGGTTATCACCCCACCAAACTTCCGGGCATCATGGTGGAGTTGAGTCCCCCGATGGAAAGACAGTACTATAGGATACACGCGCCATCTTACATATGATAACGCGTAGAACCTGCGAATCGTCTTACATTCTCTACTCTTAAAGACCTGCCTACCTACTACAGGAACGTGGCTTTAAATGTCTGACTTTAAGCTGGTGCCAGCGATCAAGTGTGCCCCCTGTGAAACTCTGGTAAGGGGATCCGTGCAATAACGCAGTAAAACGCGTCTTTGCTTGACGCGTCCGCGTCTGCGAGCACCAGGCACTTAAACCCCCGCATCCACACGCTCCCACTTACACTGCTTTTTCTTGTCCATCACACTTTCGTAACAAATACTCAGCCAGTTCTTTGAAGTGTACACTCAGGGGAGAAAAAGTTTCATTTGGGCTCGAGTTACTCCATTCGTTAGTACTACGCAAAGATCAATAAAGTGAGGACTACGGTGACAAGACCACTGAAGGTGAGAGGATCCGCTGCCGTGGAAAACCAACAGTGTGCTCACGCCTGCCAGATGCAACCCCTGTGGAAGTCAGAATACATTGGTGGATTTGCAGAATGGGACCCGACGCCATGCAGAGGCTGCGGAAGAAGTGGCAATCACACCACCATCAAGCACAGAAACTGCGCAATGATGGAACTTGAATCCTCCATCGCCGCGCGAGTTATGACCGATCGTGCTTGGGAACGACTGGAGCGTATTATCCAAAATGCAGAATACGTGATCGATGAGTTCGACGGGGAGTGTCAAATGGCAGATGCTGCCGTGCGTGAGATGGAAGATGCCATCACGAAGGCGGAGGAGATGGCAATTTCGCAAGCCGTCCTCGGCCCTCTGCGAAGGGCGTTGCACAAGGCGCAGGAAACTCGCGACAGTGTCGTGCTCACGCGCATCAACCGGAAAAAGATGCTGGCGTCATTGCATAGACAGAGAATGGCAATGTGCGACTTGTTGAACGTGGCGGAGGTTCGCGAGGAACTGGCGATTGAGACGTACCTGGCGACCCGACCGACCAGCCGAGACACGAGACTGGAGGCGCCAGGAAGCGCTGCAGCACAAGCATCAGAACGGGCTAGGTGGTGGCAGCAGGAAGAGTTTGCCGATCCCGAAGAGCTCGAAGAGGATGAAGAGCAGCGGTACCAGTACTTTCTGGATGACTGGAAATATCGTCAGGAGCAAAAAGTCCGCGACCCTAAACTCGACTTCCTCCGCGATTGTATAGATTCATCACCCGCCGGCCTTCCTCCAGGTTGTGCACATCGTGTCACAGTACAGGACAAAGACGACAGTTGGGCTCAGACTCCCACTCAGGTGGCCTCCTCCACACCTGTTCACTCGATCAAGATAGAGGAAGTTGAAGAGCAATTTGTCAGGCGTCCTACGCCACCGTCTTCACCGCCCATGTCTTCACCACCGGAGACGATGTCGAGTCCCCGCAGACTGCTTTGGGGGCATACCAATGAAAGGGCGACACGACACAGCGTGAAGCGCGAGGACAGCTCTCATCCGGCGTCTGATGATTCGATAGAAGAGGCGCTGGGCCGCGCATTCAGAAACATCGAGAAGTCCGAAAGTGCTGGTGCTACCGCGGCAACGGGCCGGGCCCGACGAACTACGGGTGCTACTCGGCAGAAGCGGCGGGTCAGGCCGTACTAGAGTGAGACGCGGGTTGAGACCGTGAGACCCCCGAAACCCCGGGATGCCTGCGTGGAAGGGTTCTAGAATGGAAAGTTTGTACACTTATGACACTTGTATTATAGCTATGAACAACTTTATGAAACAAAGACCAAGCTGACTCCGGGACATTGGATTGACAGAAAGGGTTGGGAACTTGGGGATCGCCTCATCTCCTCCTTCTTCAACCCCTGACGCTCACAAGACCCTCAGAGGGGCGGTCCCATTCAGAAACTGGAGCTCCTTACCAGGGGGTCACAATGTAACCGAAAGTGAGAGTCATGAAAATCCCGCCGTATCCGTGTGCCACCTGAGCCGCTTTCCCCTATTTGGTAGCAATTTCGGTGGAGAACTGCAAAGAGAAAACCCAACGTTCAAAGTCAGTTTTTTCTTCAACCCATGTCTATTTGCTTTTTTTATGAAGAACATATCCGTCCATGGCTCCATGCCCCCATTCTCCTTTTCTTTGGCTGAGCAACGGCTGGAAACGAACCACTCCCCCGAAACTTGGATTTCTCATTGATGAGACCAGAAAAAGGATGAGCGAATCGGCATCAAAGCCATGCAATGGTGTGGAAACTTGCAGGAAGCTGCTGCAGCCAGGGTTTTCTTGCTCTTCCTGCCGGCAGGCATGGGTACCAGCACCAGGCGGTTGGAAACGAATAGTTTCCTGGGGTTTGAGAGTTTGCTCGAGAGTTTCTCAGCACTGAGCACAGCCATGATGCCATCGCGTGACAATGTTTGTGAACGATCTTCAGCATAAACCAAGGTTTAGGGAGCTGCCAGACCTGCATCTGACGGCACAACTGACTCTTGACTCTTTATCCAACACCCAATGACGCATTACGTGTCTGCATACGAGAGCTCATACGTATCCTCATACGAACCTTGGGCCGTTCACCTGGGCACAAATGGAGTCGACTCAATATCGCTAACTCTTGCAAAAGATCCACATACATCCCCCTGGACCTGGAGCAAAACGGGGTCCTCTGCAATGATGAAGAGGATCGTGACCCCCCGCCGCCCAGGTGCTTCCAATTAAGCTGTGAGAGAGAGGTGGTTTCTTTTCCTTCATTCCCGTTCACCTTAGGACCCTTTCCTGTTCGAATGTCCACCTTTAGACCCCTACCTACATCATCTACAGCCTCCTTTTGATATCCCCACCGGCGGGAAACAAGATCTTCGAACCACCAAAAGGTGAGACAAACCCCGTGCTTGATCGCAGCGGGAATCTGCCCATGGGACACATTACTTAAAAATGCCTTCATTTGCGATCTCGATGAGTAAGGCTGAGTGAGCTGACATGGGGTTGAGTCAAGCGCGAACGTGTCCGTGACCTCGGAAAAGAGTGTAGATTCCTGCTCGACTGGAGCAGTGACAGTCCAGCCAGATGGACCCGGATGTCTGCCGGAACTGCGGCCATAGTGGCAAGCATATTGACTTTGCGGACGCCCGATGCGCCATCACGGAGCGGGACGACGCCGAGCGGGACAAGCTCCAGGCCGACGCCGCCCTGGCCCGGGCCCGCGACATCTGCGAGACGTCGCTCGCGCTCATGAAGCGGCAGATGCAGGAGCTCGAGGACGCCAACGAGGCCATTGACGCACTGCGCGCCGCGCTGGCGGCCGCCGAGGACCGAAGGGAGCGCGTGAGGCGTGACCTCGGCACCCACGGCGACGTGTGCCTGCTCGCGCGGACGAATGTCGAGGCGGCGGAGGAGATGGCCATCTCGGCTGCCGGGCGGTACTTTGAGGCCGGAAGGGCTGTGACTGCGTTAGAGGATCGAGAGCAGTTGAGGAAGCAGTCGCCGAGTATTCACGTGGAAGAGGCGCCGCCTTTGCCGGTGACTGTGCCTATGGAAGAGGATGACGATGCGGAGGAGGAAGCGAGAGAGAAGGAAGAACGGAGGTGGAAGAGATCGAATGAGCGCTTTTGCAAGTGGTTGCGGCAGTCTGAGGCGCAGCGGCAGATTATGAAGTCGTCGTGGACCAAGCTAAGGGTCGCGGAGAGGTTAGCTGGTGAGGGCGTCAACGTCGACGTCGATGTCGATGTCGACGCAGTTGACGAGGAGGAAGATGAAGAGACGGCACGCCGGAAAAGGGTCCAGGCGTGGACTGCCGCACGGAGGCTGACAGACCAGCTTCCGCCAGAGGAGGACCCTACTATGGAGACGGAGTACCTTGAATCGGAGCCGACTGATTCCGCGGAGACGACGGAAGGATCTTTCGAGCCATTGGTGTTGGCGCCGGCACCGACGTCTGCTCCTACTTCCTCCGCTCAGAAGACGGGCGTATCCAAGAGAACGCCGGCACTGAGGACAAGGGCAAAGACCGGCAGAGCTGCGACGACGGCGACCGCGCCTGCGACGCAAGCCCCGCAGACTGTGCCGTCAAGTCCGGTGAAAGGACGCAACCTACGGACTGCTCGAAGGGTGGAAAGCCAGACTCGCTCTGAACCGACGCGGCCGACGACGGCTACGACAACGGCGACGAAGAGGGTGAAGAGGGAGCCGAAGACAACATCTGCGGTCGTGATGGGGAAGACGGGAACTACCACTGCTCCTAGCTCAGATGGTGCCGCCGCTGGCCGGCCGGCTGCGAGGACACGGGCTCGGACTGGGAAGACCCCGGCAGCGCCTACGGTAGCGGCAGCGGAAACACCGGCGGCGACACGGCCTCAGAGGGCTACGAGAAGGAGGTCGGTGAGGGTTCAGCCATACCCCCAACCGGGTGCTCAGCCGAGATGGAAGTGAGATGTTTTTATTGGTGGCCATATTTGGATGGTCTAGTAGATGTGTTGAAATTGTGAAGGCCTTGAGGAGGGGCCGATGCCCTCCTCGTCCATACCCCTCAGATTGAATAGTCTCAATTCATAGCGTTTCTTTTGTCAATTGCTTACCCATGAAGTCGGTTTTACCAGTGGTTTTCTAGTCACATGTGTCATGAAAAGATGTAGTGATATTTCTTAAGAGAATGAGTGAGAGTCAACTGATTAGATGACCATGAAATGTCGCCATCCGAGCTACCCATCACGACATAGCGGACCGTCAACTCTAAAAGAACCTCCACACCGAATCCGCACTTCTCGTCTTCTTGAAAGCGCTGTACCATCTACATAGCGGATACATAATCGCCATAATAACTAGCCAATTCGCCCACCAAACCCAAATGTTACTGACTCCGACCGCAGGCCTACCGTCCATTGGAGGAGGTAGGCCGTTCTCGCGCCCAAAGAGCCCAACGAGCAGCATGCACAAGCTAAAGAGGATGACGAGGTGCGTGAGGTAGAAAAAGAGCGCGGACGTGCCAAACACGAGAAGAACGCCGAACCACTTTGTCGCAACCCGCGGAGGCACCGAACCAAAGATTGCGAGCAGGAAGAACGTCGCCGCGAGAGTGTATGCGAAGAAGGCAAAGTCTGGCGGGTACTTGACGACGTAGAAGAAAGACGCTACGGAAACGAGGTATGGGTTCGCGTCTGGGCTCGCCGCCTGATCCGGGGTCCGGAGGCATCCTTCAGACAGGTTGCCGATGCGGAGTACTCGCGTGAGGACGAAGAGAACGCTGAAGCCGAGGCCCGCGGCGACGTTGCCGCATGCCAGCTTCGTGGGCGACAAGGGACGAGCAAGGATGATGCGCGCGTAGAGAAGGCCCAGAATGGCAAAGGAGAGCCACGCCAGAGGCGGGAAGCCGGACATGACGTGCGGGCGGTTGACTTCAAAGAACCAGAAGCGCCAAAAGTCGTTTGCTGCCGTGCCGGTGACGGGGAAGACGAGGCGGCGGCGCAGGCTCCGTGGGTCGGCGACACCCAGTGGTTCCAGCAAATCGTAACGAAGCCGAGCACAAGAAGCACGGCGTTGTGGATGTGCCATGAGATCTGTTGGGCGCGAGCGGAAGCCTTGGACTTGGGCGGACTATCGTGGCCCGTATGAACGAGGAGAGGCGTCCTCTCACTTCCGTCGCCGCGACGACGACCACCTCCACAACCGGTACCTACAAAGAAACGATCGAGCAGGTTAGCCAACAACGGCTCCGTCTCGTTGATAGCGAGCCACAAGAGGCCGACGAGGAGGTAATCCACCGCCAGCGCCACGAGGACCATGTTAAGAAACCACAGCTGGCCCTGCGTCAGCACGAACCCCATGACCGTCGAGACGGCCGTCAGAATGACGGCGCGCATTGCAAAGTGCTTTGCCATCCGGGCGGAGGACCAGCCCATCTTGAGGCGGGAGCGGCCGAAATACGCGACGCCCATGCCGAGGAGGAAAGTGAAGCCGGGGGCGCAGAGGTGCGAGAGCATGCGGACGGCGTAGCCAAAGTGTCCGTTCCAGCGCTCGACGACGGCGGAGTCGGATTCTTGGTGGTTTGCGCCGGTGGAGTGTGGCCAGGCGTTGAGGCCGACTACGTTGTGGTCCATTGCCATGAACATCATCAGCAGTCCACGGAGGAGATCCGGCGCAAGGGCGCGGGTTGGCGGCGGCGGAGGTGAGGCATCGTCAGCTTGTGCTGGCTGCTCTGGTAGAATGGTCGGCCGACGTCCGTTTGCTAGTGCCCGGAGGGAATCCGTGGCCTTTGGAGTTGTCGTTGAAGGCGGCTGAGAGGTGCCGTAGGTGTAGCCGTTGGACGACGTGCTCGGCTCTGGCGTGTTGGCATTGTCGTCGTCAGACTCGGCTGCCGTCACGGACTCCTCATCGTTGGGGAGGGTGTGCAAGGACGTATCCTCCTCATCCCGATGGAAACCTCGTACGTTGGGGTCTTTGAGAGACTCTCGTAATATGGAAGCGAGGTTGGCGTCTGTCGAAGCCATCTTGCTTGCCGGTTTATGTTGGTTTACAATGAGAGCATTCAACAGTTTTCAGGAGTCTCACAAGAGGAGGACTTGAAGCACAAGAAGGCAAAGGGAACGGTTTATGAACTGTGTCAGAGCTGTTCAACGCCTACGAGGTATGGAAGGATTAGTCAACCGAACGCAGGCTTCCGCCTGACCCGCGTCGCCGCGTCGCGAGAGGGAGGAACACACGGGCAGAGTGTCCAAGAGGGGGATCTTAGCGTGGGCAAAAAAAGGGCGAATTCTATTCTGGTGGAACGTCCTGTCGCAGTTGATGACGTGCACCAATTGCAGTTGGGGGAAATCTGGAACTGGCGGAGCGGAGGACGCGGGCGGCGGCTCAGGCACGAGACAAAGACCGAGTGGACATTAGGCTTTGTTTTGAGTACTTTTATTCATCCTGATGGTCTCTTTCGGGTTCCCCTGCGTCAGGCACTGCGTCAAGCAGCATACTAGTTCTTGGATGTAGCCAAGTGATACCGTCTTGTCGAACTAAAGTTGCTTCAAGACTGAGAGAGCACCTCGAAGGGTAAGCGAACAGAACAAAAGAGCTTCAACTCGCCCCTCGGTGACTTTCGCAGCTGAGCAATGTGAGGCGGGCCAACCTCAGCCCCGAGCGGCTCAGCCGTCTGAACTTTCCACGCGACATGTCCGCCGCTAGACACCCACCTAGATCTTCAAACTCCGCATACTTCATCAACATTGTCTTAGTTGCCGATTGCCATGTTGTTTTTTTTTCATTTATCTCAATGAACATGAGAACCAAAAGAGACATTCCCAAACCTTCGTCGCTAGGTTCAGGGGCTCTTCTTAGGCGGTGTCGCAACAGGCCGTTTGTCCCGGTTCACTGGTTAGACTTCCCGCTGACCGCCTCAACCGTGTGGACCTGTACCTGACATGGGCCTGAGAACATGTGGCACCGCATAACGGGCTCTCTGGGCGTGACCTGCCAGCGAAACGCTGCATCTGGGGACCTGCCGCAGCCCGATAGCAAGGGATCTACCCGTAAGATCTTTTGGTCGTCAGGAACCCGCAAGCTTCTCACAGGTGGCCGGGCTTGGCGCGTAGATTTGTCGATTGATCTGATTCTGCGTCGCTGTGAAATGACTTTCTTCTTTCTCACGTCAGCTTATGAGGCACTAGTAGGATGAAGCTTTGGTGGCTCATTCGAACAAATTCCTCGCAGTCACAGCAACTGAGTGGCTGAACAAACTTGAGGACTTGGGTCGGCGCGGGGTCAATCGACGGGCATTGAACTCAACTGAATGAGTCAGCATGACTCTCCCGATCTGCCAATGCAGTTCAAGAGTCCTTCGGTCAGTACATGCAAAGCCAGCCCGTTTCCCTGCCCTTTTCAGCTCTTTTGACTTTGGAACTAGGACATCTCGACGGTGTCTCGGTCTCGTGTCAACATAAGTATCTAGAAGATGGCCGAAGCCGCGGAGGTCACCGCAATTTACCGGAGACATGTTCCGGTTCAGTTTCCCGGCCGTCTTCCGAACTTGATCCATTTCAGCCGATCGCGGGTGAATCAACTCGTCCTAATTGAGCATCAAGACACCTCACTATTGGCGAAAACTGGTGTAGCTGATTCTTAGTCTGCAAGTCGTCATTGCTCGTTGCTATCCGCCATCCCCTCACACGGCAGCTCACAAAATGCGGAGGGATTCTGGAGACCCCATCAGTATGCCTTGGCCGTTCCGAGTTCCGACCTCCGTTGGGACCCCACTTCAACTCACCCGCGGGGCATTGTCGCGGGGCAATAAATGAACCCCCAGGCCGTGATGAGTTGATGTTAATGAGAAAGCCGGGACGAGAATTATTGGTTGAAGGCGAGAATATCACTCAAAATGGCAGACAAGACAGATATTGAAGCTATTCTCAAGACGTTAACTCTTGAAGAAAAGGTAAGGTTCCTCGTAACCTCTGTACCATCATATCACCGACCCCTCACTCTTAGATCCGGCTTCTCGCAGGCCGCAACTTTGTCGAAACTGGCGATGTCCCCGATAAAGGGGTGCCTGCAATCAAGGTATTCAATACCCCAACAGCCCCATATACCAAAGGCTCAGAATTGACCATATCTTCACAGACAACAGATGGCCCTAACGGCACCCGCGGCGCCGCGATAGACGGCAGCACAAAAGCAGCATGTTTCCCGGCTGCCTGTAGCATAGCAGCGACCTTTGATCGACGCATAGCCCGCTCCGTCGGCGCGGCTCTCGCCCAGGAATCAAAAGCAAAGGGAGCCCGCTGTCTCCTCGCACCCACAGTCTGCATCCATCGCCACCCGCTAGGAGGGCGCAACTTCGAGAGCTACAGCGAGGACCCCTTCCTTGCAGGCAAGCTCGCCTCGGAGATGATTCAGGGGTGCCAAAGTCTGGGCGTGAGCGCGACCATTAAGCATTTCGTCGCCAACGAGCAGGAGACTGCAAGGACAACGGTGGATGAGACGATTAGTGAGCGGGCGTTAAGAGAGATCTACCTCAAGCCGTTTGAGATTGCGGTCAAGGAGGCAAAGCCTTGGGCTATCATGTCTGCTTACAACCTCATCAATGGAAAGCACTGCGATTCGAATGAGTGGTTGCTGAAGGAGGTCCTGAGGGGGGAGTGGGGATGGAAAGGTCTCGTTATGAGCGACTGGGGCGGAACCAACTCCGTGGCAGAGGGGATCAAGGCCGGCATGGATATTGAGATGCCTGGACCCCCGAGGATACGCAAACCCGCGGCCGTGCTCGAGGCCGTAAAGAACGGTGAGGTCACCGAGGCTGATATCGACGAGCGCGTACGTACGATACTCGAGTGGACGGAACAGCTGAACGGCTTCAAAGACCCGACCATCACCGTGGAAAAGGCGATTGATCGCCCCGAACACCGTGCCTTGATCCGGGATGCCGGCGCGCGAGGCATCGTCCTCCTCAAGAACGACAACAACATCCTCCCACTCACGAAGGAAAAGGTCAAGGGCAAGAAGATTGCCCTCATCGGTTACGCCAAAGACGGCCTCGCCCACGGCGGCGGCAGCGCAAGCGTAAACGCACATTACAGACTCCCACCTTGGGACGCCCTCCATGAAGCTCTGGGCTCCGACGTGGAGTTCACCTACGCAAAGGGTGCTCACAAGGAGCGTCTTCTCCCGCCCATCACCCACGATGGAAGGGTCGGTACCATCGTCGGTCTAGACGGACAACCTGGCTTCAGTCGGGTATTCTACGACTTTGGCAAGGAGGATGTCGAGCCTGTTTCGGTCCTAAACAGCTATCCAAACTCAGCCTATTCCCCGCTAGGCTCCCAGGAGTCAATGTGGAAGACACTCGACATCGTTGGCGACTTCACGCCTTCCGAGACGGGTTCGCACTACATCGCCTGCTCAGGCATAGGCCCGACCCAAGTCTTTGTAGACAACGAGGTCGTCTTTGAACAGAAAGGAAATTGCGCAGATCCTATGGGCGCTCTATTCCAAGCCGCCAACGAGCCGCAGACAAAACATGCTTTCACAGCAGGCAAAACCTACCGCCTTCGCATCCACAGCAAACCGCCTACCAAGATTGGTCTTGAGATCCTGGAAGGCCGCACAGGTGTGCGAATGGGTTTCGGGCTGGAATCAGACCGTGACGCAGACCTTCAGGGTGAAGCTGCGCGGGTGGCTGCCGAGGCGGACCTTGCTATCGTATTCACCGGGCATGATCCGCAGTGGGAGACGGAAGGCCGCGATCAGGAATCGTTCCATCTGCCCTACGACCAGGATGGGCTGATTGACGTTGTAGCTAAGGCTAGCGGCGGCAAGACGATCGTGGTCAACTCTACCGGCGTGGCTGTTGCGATGCCCTGGCTTGGCAAGGTGTCTGCTCTGGCGCAGTCGTGGTTCCCGGGCCAGGAGTGCGGCAATGCCATTGCTGATGTGCTCACCGGTGCCGTAAACCCTGAGGGTAAACTACCCGTCAGTTTCCCTGCTCGCGTCGAGGATGCTCCCGCACATGGGAACTTCCCCGGGAAGAGAGGTGATGATGGAGTGCTCAGGGTCGAGTATGCCGAGGGCGTATTTGTTGGATACAGGCACTACGACCGTGTGGCAAAGGAAGTGCTGAACTTTCCCTTTGGATACGGTCTTTCGTACACAACCTTCGAGTACACAGGCTTCCAAGTGACAAAGAGGAACTCTGCTGGAAACGAATTTGACGTCTCGGTGGAGGTATTTAACACGGGTCTCGTCGCCGGTGGAGCTGTGGTGCAGGTGTACGCTGGGCGGACGGAGAGGTCGGCGGACACGCCGGTCAAGGTGCTGGCTGCGTTTGACAAGGTTCGGCTGCAGTCTGGGGAAAAGGCTACGGTCAGGTTGGCGATCTCGGCAAAGGACTTTGCTTCATTTGATGAGTCGGCGAGAGAGTGGGTTGTTCGGGCTGGAGAGTACAGCTTCTACCTTGGCGAGTCTGCGGCAGAGACTTTGCAGACTGTATCACTGAATCTGGAGAGAATCAACTACCACAGATAGTGATTAAGGGGGATCTGGTGAGTCTTTCAATGTAGATGTAGACTTGGAAGTTGTAAATCCAGAACGATCGACATAATGCTGTATTTCAGGGGATGAATCCAAGTGAGTAGATATGACTATAGGCTTCCACGTACTAATTGTGAAATAAATATTCGAACCTCATCAAATGGCATCTTAGCTTGTTCTCTCCGCCTGACGCATGTGCAAGGATCTCATGATTTGATCCGTCCAACCTTTCCTGTTTCTGGGCATCTTTTAAGCATAAACTCTTGACAGGCACTTCATACTTTACCTGCGATGATCCGCCCAATCCTTGCGTCCGTTGAAAGATCCGTCCCCGATACGAGTTATCCACTTCACATATTGGTTCATGCGGTGCGCCGAAACATTCGCCCAGGCCTGGTGTTCGAGATCACCATGGCTAAGCTGGCACGCCATGACTCTCTCTTCTTCTTCATCCTCGTCCCCGTCCCCGTCCCCATCCCCGTCCTCGTCTCCGCCCTCGTCCCCGTCCTTATCAACCTCCAATTCCTTCTCGAATAGAACAACTAGTTGACCGAGGCCATACAAACGTAGCTTGGGTGGCTTGAAGTCTTCGAATTCGCTCGCCGGCGGGCACTTACCTCCTCCGACACAATACCAGATACGCGCAAGCTCTGTCGCGTACGCTGCATCCATGCGTGGAATCGGGTCCCCATAATTCACGAAGGCGAGCATATTCCCTGGAAGAAAGTTGCTACCGGTATAGAGTCTGGTGAGGCGGGCGTCAATGTCGGTGTTGAACAACGGAGGGCAACCAAAAGTTACGCAAGACAGCGTCGGCTTCTTCGAGGGCAGATCTGTGTCGTGTTGTCAGCCTAATGCTCTGTTCTGACACTTTGGGCGTAACCAAAACACGATCTGTTCATGTTGGAGCCCTTACCAAGAACTTGGCTTGTAAGAAGATAGCAAAACAGAAGGCATGCAACGGCTCCGCCAGCAGAATGACCTGTGAAAACAATTTCTATCTCTTGGTCTTCCGTTTGACCCTCGTTTAGGGCAACTTTCATCTGATTTACCAGTCCTGGAGCGATAGTTCTGGCACATTGGGCGAACCCGCGATGTACTTTCAGCGTTGGTTTCAAACGTGACTCGGGGAGTTTTTGAATAACCGAAGTTAGTCCCATAACTCGACCTCGGACCATAAACCAGCAATTGAGCCTTTCGCTTGTTTGCTTGAGGTCATGATCAGCTGTACTCACCACCAAGTCAGAACATTCAGATAGGTCGCTATTTAGGTTGACCAGCCAGTCAATAGAACTTGCACTCCCTCTAACAGCAACGACTAGTGCCTTTCGCTGAGATGACGGATCAGTCCGCAAGATCTCAAAAAGAGTGGCGGCCTTCCCCGAGCCGTCTCTGGTAGGCTCTATCCAGTGTCTATCTTTGATGGCATAGTCCAGGAGTTGGGGGACAACCTGGCCCGGGTCCTTCCTGTAGACGGCTTTGGAGCAGAGAGCAGCAATTTGCATGACACGGGCAGCGTCTTCCGTGCTGGTGTGGTGTAGATCGTTGTCAGAACATGGAAATACCAACATTATCTCTCAAGATTTGACGCGTGGCTTCTGGGTATATGCAAACCTTGTCCACTCTACCGTAGGTAGTTTGACGAATTCCTGGCCCCTGGAGACTATGTCGCGCAAGTTCATTGCACGTTGTGCCCTAACTTTCTTATTCTGCGATTCTCTCACAATCCCTAGCCAAGGTAGAGACAATCAGCATCACATCAGCCACTGAAGATGGGCCCTTTGTAAATCTTACCAAAAAGATCTGAATCGCTGAAGTCTTCGATCTCGTTGAGCATCGTAGCTACTGCTGCCGAAGCACCAGCCAGAGTCGTAGAGTCCATGGACCCAAGCCCGGAGGCAGAGGCACCCAGAGAAAAGCGTGCCACAGACATCTCCAAGTTGAGCCAGATACTCGTGAAGTGGAGTGGCAATCAAGATCAGATAGAGTAGAACTTGGGTCAACTGGAAGGCTTCTCTACTTCCGTGTCGAGTGTGGGCGAAGACATTGCGGGCTCGCAGTTCCCCTTTTTCTTCCTTCTACAAAAGTAAGGCGAGGGAAAGTGCACTTTTGACCAGGCTGCCATTACGCGTCGGGCACCGCCAGAGAACGCCTTCAATCATTGCCACACCCTGCTCTGTTGAGTGTAAACAAATTGCTCGACCAACTGGATTGGTTGCCAGCCTTCGACGTTGGTTCGCCTAGGTAAGGCATCTAGGCAGACCTCGGATCTGGGCGAATCAACACAACGAGTAGGTCCAGAATGCGCGCGTGTCAGATATTGTATCATCTCACCATAAACGTGATACGTGTAAAGCCGAGATGGTGTCAACTAGCAATAACATTGTGATCTGATTTATCCGCCCCCTCGTTGATTCATACTGCCTTAAAATTCCGTTTCCTCCGTCTTCAAACTGAACAAATTGAATTTTCTCGCTACGTTTAACGTCCGCCTTGCTTACCTGTCATTCCACTGGCATCACCATGAAGAAATTCTGGATATCTTCTGCTCAATTACCCCCTAGTCCAAAGGTCAAGTGGGTGGAGCTTGATTCTCATCATCCAAAAACGCTCAAAGAAGAATTATGTGGTCTTTACTGGAGCGGTATTGCGCGGGACCTGGATGAAATCCTGCGGTTCCTCGACATATGTGAAAATGTTCCTGAACCGCCAACAGATGATTTAACGCCTGAAAGCTGGCTTGGCTTCGAAGCCTTCGCCAAGAGAGCCACCCGTTCGGCAGTGAACGACGCTTTGTGAGTTTCCTTAATCTTCATCACCATGCCCGTAGCGCTAGTTCTCGGATTCTTTGCTAATATATCGATACGCCGATTTCTTTAGAGTGTACGACGTTAGGCAATCTGACTTATGGCAACTCCGAAAATTTCACGAGCAAGGAACATTTGGCTCAGATGCTTCTACGAGCAGCAGGCACGCACCCTATTTGAGGTGATTCATAACAACACTAGAGCAACACCAAGCTAACATGGAGTACCGTATTTAAATTTAGGCATGCTCGATATTGACAAAAGTGAGTGCTCTCGACACTGACTTTGAACCTGTCGTGCCTATTTCCCGAGAACGGAGTTATCTGATCAAAGCCCAAAAGTGGTTGAACATCGAGAACCTGAATACAAGCTGGGTGCATGGCTTCGGCCACGAGCACCACAATGTAAGCCATGCTCCAGTATTTGGCACTGTCATGGTAAAGAATCATTGTTGACTTAGCTCTCTTTCAATATCCCACAGTAGTGCCCAGATCTGATGAACACAGCCAGAACCCGATCAACTTCTCCGCCCTCCAATGCTCTGAGTGCAAGCGAGCCATCCAGGGTACTCATTTTCGGTGCGCTCCCGATTGCCCGTGTGGCAAGTCATCATATCGAAAGCAAGCTCCAGTATTCTGTGAGACTTGCGCTCGAACCCTCGATCGCAAGCACGACTCTGATGAAGTACGCAAGTTCCACAAGAGCTGTGTCTTGTCATCCTGTCTATCCAACGAACAGGCGAGGGAGTTGTGTCAATGTGCCGGTGGCGATGCCGAGTCTAACCAATCAAAGGAACTATATCCTTTTGACCAGAATGATCGCGTCCGTCATGACCCACTGTGTCCTTTGATCAGGCTCAAGTCACAACATTGTTCCTCGAAGCTGGCTGAAGTCTGCCATCTTGGCATGTTAGAGGAGAACAAAAAGGGTGACATTCGCAGTCATCTAATCACCGCTGCCATCAAGACTGCAGCCAAGATTACAAGAGTTAACGAGGATCTCCCGTACGGGAACGCCCATATGAGTCTCATGATGGGCCCACTGCTAATCGAAAATGGAGTCCCTCAGTTTGTACCCTTTTTTCTCTGGCCCCTCCTTTTAAGTCGATGGAGGATTCTTCTTTACCTTTGTTCTTTTTAGATCCAAGGGTGGCGTACTGTTCACAGTTCGAGATCGTCTTCAGTTGCATCCAGTAGATACTCCTTCAAGCTCAGTGAGCAGATGCTTCGCTCTCATCAAAGACAGACAGCTATTCAGGACAGACAAGCATATACCTAGAGACCGCCGAGTCAAGGCCTTTATGAAACAGGTAGTAGGCAGTCCATTCTGGAGTCTGAGGGAAGAGGATCGTGTCGCCGAGGCCGAAATTGTCAAGGATGTAGCCAAGGCTAGTCTGGATTATTTCGACATCCTGATGGAAGGTTCCAAGCAAGACAAACAGAAGAAGTCCAAGGCAAAGATGAAAATACTCGGGAAGCTCCGTAAACTGCTACATGAGCGTGTCGAGATTTACATACATTCCATCGTCAACAAACTTTTCGACAAAAGTTTGCCTCTTGGTTGGTTCTACTCTCATTATCCTCTTATTCCCAGACTCTGCACTCCATGAGTCCATGCATCTTGACCGTCGGAAGGGATACGATTCAAAGACGAACAAAATATTGATCTTCATCTCAGAGTGGAATCCAGGGAGCAACAATTGTCAGAAATTCTGTGATGCTCTGATAGACCGCAACGCCTTTGGCAGCTTCATGGTCTATCCCCGATACTGCGAGGAGAAGAAACACGAAATTCAGGCATGTCAAGTTCTTTACTTGATGAGCTTTGTCAGCCGGATAGGCTGCCACGATGGATTCACCAGGCAGGTGATTCCTTCTTCAAGAGCCACATCCGCGAATGGCCATACCGAGGAGTTTCTCCTTCGATTTCGCCGATTCGCCCACCACAACGACACGGACATCATTGACAGCTTGATAGAGTACTGGACCGATTGGGGAGGCTTCCGGGCGCCGATATTTCGACACCAAGACCTCTTTCCATGGGACTGTACCGAAGCGCGCACTCTCAAAGACGAGACCGATCACCCGCAGGCAAAGTGTGGGAATTGTTCCTTGGCTAAGCACCTTTGGGCCTTTCCGTTTGACGCATGGTCAGTAGCGCAGCTTCACCTTTCCAGGGAACGTCGTT